ACAGAAATGAACCTTTCCTCAGTAGCTTTAGAATAATCTTGAGCTGTATCAGAACAAGTCTAAGGCCACGTAGACTAGTATACGCCCAGGGACCACTGTGGAACCTACCTGGACGACTGAGGGATTACACAGATTTAAGATCAGATGGTAATATAAAACAAGGTTGATGTTGAAAATGACATTCTAAAGAGGGTTTTTATTATCATCATCGTATCAGAATTAGTATTAAGTATAGAAATAGAGTTTGATTTTTTTTTTTTATCTTGACAAAACTAGTACAAACTGATGGCAACATATTATAGTATGACTAAAAAATAGGGAGCAAAGATCAGCTCTTGGGTTGTCGCCACCTCACATAACCTGCCTGTGTCTGGAGAAATACCAACATACACAAGTCCCAGTCCCCCATGTGTCTCTATACAGCACTCAAGAAGCCCCACATTAAAAATACATGTCCCAATGCAGAGTGAGAGGAACAGAGCACGACATATATTAACAAGACCAAACTAGGAGCAAAGTTCAGCTGTACTGTTGCTAAGGGACCGGACTGGACACCTGCGGGGACTAAGAGCTCATATCTGAAGAGGAGACATCGCTGTAAATAAGGACAGCCTCAAAGCAAAGTGAAATCATCATAAGAGATATGCGACAGAAGACTGAGGAAGAGGAGGCAGAGGAGAGAGGAAGAGGGGAGGGGGAGAGAGAGGGAGGGGGGGATGCTGCAGTGACATAAGAGCATGAGAGGAAGTGAGCCCCCTGGTGATTGTGAGGGGACACTGCAGACCTGGGGAGTAAGCAGGAGTGTTTGGCTGCTGGAGGAAAGCAGAAGACTTCATAATGGGGCTATACAATGGAGAGAGAAGAGGAGAGAGATAAAAAGCAGGAAGAGGGAAAGAAAGGGGAAGTAGCGGACAAAAAGTACACATGCATTTAAACTAAATTACACAAATTTGACTCTTCTGAGCTTTAAACCATGTTTGGGGGAAAAAAAAATAAAAAAAAAATCATGGAGTTGTGTTTTGTTTCATTCACACATGTTTGAGTAATCCTTTTTTATTAGTCTGTTTGCATCTCCTAAAATCAAAATGCTCTGTTGCACCTTGTGATGTCATGAAGCGGTAATTTTCTAGTTAAATGCTACTTTTTACCTTTTTAGTAGAGATTGGAAATTCCAGTGCATGTGTGGATGAAACAAAAAAACAATTCCGTTTCAATAATGTTTTAGTATTGATTCGTATTTGGGTATCCTTTTTTAAAACGCCAATTGACAGATTAACCAAATGCAGATTACATCTTCCTCTATGGACACAAAAATATATCTGTCCATGAGCCAGATATGAAGCCATCTTACTTTTTTTGCTAATACTGCGATCTTATTTTTCTGTTTTGGTCACACTTTGGCTCGTGTGATAATTCTGCATCAGTTCTTTTATGTAGCTGACAAGTTTTGAGCGGCGCACATCTGGTGAGGTGTGTGTTTCAGTAACACTGCTGTCCCTGTCTGACAGCTTCACAGCGATAAACCCAAGCCCTATTGGAATAACCGATCTGAACAATGCTACGAATAATAGACCTGAAACTGCAATTCACAATGATAATATTCAGCATCCTCATCACTCTGGAGAGTATCTAGTTCAACCTATCAAATCTAACAAACATATATATAACATCAATCTGCCAAGGGACTACAGATGGATATTAGCACCAGCACTATAACCTGGTACAATGCATCTCTCCTATTACGGGTATGTATTAAGGTTAAGGTTATATCTGTATGTATATTGTGCACTGTCCCTGTCTCATTAAATAAACTAAACTGAACTAATATATAGGCAATAAGGTGGTAACTAGGGCTGAAAAAAACTCTGATACTAACCAATACTTTTTAAAATTTCAGCATTCAGAATATATTTAATGTGGTCTTAATCTAGACGTGAAGTAGGTAAAATTAGACATACAAGTGAAGAAACTAGAACTGTAGTATAAAAATGAAAGATTAAACACAGGCAATCAATCAGTGACATTTTTACTCCAAAAATTGTATTCAGTAGATGCACTAAAAACAAGAATTGCCTGTGCCATCATAATTTAGCAAAATCTACTGAAAATCTTCTTTGTAGTGTTGTCACAATTCTGAAATTTCAACCTTGATTTTGATACTAAGGAATAGACTCAATACCAATTCCAATAAAATGATGATATGATAATAACAAACATTAAATCATAGTACTTTTTTATTTTATCATGTAGCTTTATATCTGTGTAATCCCCTCAATGGTCCAGGTAGGTTCCAGAGTGGTCCATGTATGTGAGTCTATATGATGTTGACACGGTTACAACCCACAGGTCTACAGTTACCTCCTCATCACATTGAGACCACTTGATTAATTGAAGTAAACTTGTTAATTGCTGCCTGGCCCCTCACTGTGCCTATGGTTAAATTGTGTAAACAAAAACATGTCCTTGGATCGTGATGATGAAGGTCTGAATAACAGTTACACATATGCTCCGGCTCAGTGGGTAAGCAGTTAGTTAAATAAACATAACAACAACTCAGAGGACCCTTATTTAGTATATAAACTTAAGTAAATGAGATGAAGAGTCATAGCATTCAGTATGTCATAGGGTTTAAGTGGTACCATTAACAAAATATAAGCTTACTCAAAATCAAAACTCAAGTCAAGATAAGTTAAATGATTACAACTATGAATGGGTGATTTATCGGTCCAGTCTCGGTCAATATCAATACAGATTTGTCAATATCGGTATCAGCCAATATGACTATTTGATCTTTTTTTTTTTTCCCGCCCCCATTTTGTATTAGTTTACCATCAATGTCATTTTTATGGTACGTCACTGCTCCATTACCACTAAAGGACATCACAGTACTACTCCTCTGAGACATGAAGTCGGGCTTTAAACACCGCTGTGAGTGAAACTTTTCAACAAGAACAAGAGCTCCCTGTGATCTGGAAGAACTAAATACATCATACACACCTACATGGACACCAGTAAGAAACTTTCAATGTTCACAAAAAAGTATTTCTAGAAATCACTGGAGAACAGTAACGGCTACAGTTGCAGTGGTAATAACAGTAGTAGTAGTAGCTGTTGTAGTAGTAGTCCCAGAAGTTGTATTAAAAGTTGCAGTAGTAGTAGTAGTAGTAGTAATAGTAGTAGCAGCAGTAGCAACAGTAGTAACAGTAATAGTAGCAGCAGCAGTAGGAGTAGTAGGAGTAGTAGAAGTAAAATAGTGGCATTCATAGTAGTAGTAGCTGCTGTAGTAACAATAGTAGGGCTGGGTATCATTAATAAGTTGCCGATACGATACATAGGCCACGATACAATACGTTTTTCGATACAGCGCACTCTCGATTCAGTACGATTTGATATGATATATTTAAAATCTAGTCGATACGGTTCAGTAAAAAACAACTACATCATGGCTGTGATACCAAAAATCCACTAAGTTTGTGCAGAGTTAAAATGAAAAACACCCATTTTACTCAAAACAGTGAAAATGTCAACACAACTGTAGCTCTTACACAGAATACTTCAGTAAAATATACCTAAAAATATTCTTGGCAATATATTGATACAGCAGCCTACAATATCAGTACTGCATCATCAAATTAAATGATATTTCAATATTTTTGCACACTCCTAAACAGTACTACTAGTAGCAGTAATAGTAGCAGCAGTAACAGCATAAGTACATGTACAACAACTAACAGTAGTAGTAGCAGTAGTAGCAGTAGTAGTAGTAGTAGTAGTAGTAGTAGTTGTTGTACATATGGTTTTGGACCAGTGAAGACATTTAAAGTATTGACATTAGGAATAAGTACTCGTAGCTATAGCAGGGGTTACTTGGGTTTACCACAGCTTTCACAGAGAATAATAATATTTTTTTGCATTTGAAATTCAACAAAGCCAAGCCAATGTCTGCAATCAACAAACATGGCCCCCAAAATCTGTTCAAATAGTCATTTTTGAAAGAGCGGTTTTCTCACATTGTTGACATCCTATTCAAACCATTTGCAAATAGACTCTTTATTTTGCCAGTTTGTTGCTGACACAGGTTGATAGCAATGCATTAAAATTCCTTCAGAGAGTCCAGTTTTGCGCAAACCAATTACAAATAAAAACTAAACGGTAATGGGGTTTGGCTTAGACTTCATAAAAATATCCGAGGTGAAAGTTCTGCTCGAGTTTTTGGTAAACCTTTTAAGCAAACTCCAACTATGCATCAGTTACATCAGTTCATTATATTTTGCCTCAACTGAAAACAAACAACTTTTCTTGCAAGTTTTCTTGCATATCTCTAATTTTAACACATTTCTGCATATTCCTGGGTGTATACATAACTGAGCTGTCCCACTCAGTTATGTAAACCCCATCTCAATCTGGCCTTTCTGACCTCCAAAATAATCCTAAAAATGTCTAAAAGGAATAGCTATCTTTATTATATATATATATAATAAAGGAAACAAAATTTTACACAGACAAGTGGATCTGGAGCCTTATCCTGTCTCCTGATTTCAGAGGGAGTGAATGACAATCAGAGAGAGACATGCTCTGTTTGCTTACACGTAAACATGGATAAAAACAACATAAAAAGACTGAGAAAAAGCATGGATTTTCTCAACAATCAAAGCACCAAACTATTACTTATCTCAAGTAAAAGAAGTTATATGTTTTGTTCTGAATGCTAAGAGAATTTTGGAGAGGAGATGTCTTCCAAATACGAGAGACACGTGCTACAAACTGGCAGCTGTGGTTGGACTGCCCTAAGTCTTTTACAGAGGATTTTTGATCAGAATGTAGAAGGGACTGCTGGTGAGCCTACAGCTCCATATCCCCAACATCAACTTGCAGCTTTGATCAAATCTTCAGATAGAAAACAAGTTAAAAACCCTCACCTCATTTATCTTAGCCTAACAACGACATTATTACAAGTAGAAACATATCAAGGCCAAAGGGAATACAAAACTCTGTCCTACCAGCTTGGCGAGGTTGACGGCGTCTGCGTGAAGGCGAGCTCTCAGGTGAGGGTCCAGTTGAAAAGCAGGTGCGATCTCCACAACCTTCAAAACAACAACATCCAGTTTACAAAGACGCCAGGAACAAAAATTAAGTCCAGCACAGAATTTAGATAAATGCAAGACGATTAGAAATACACATACATCACATAAACATTTAAGATTTCAGCATGTATTTGGAACATCTGATTTCTTTGCTTGCGTTTTAGATTTTAACACAGTTTGTTGTAGGTTAAGTAATCCTTGTTGGAAATGAAAGATAAAGGTATATTAAAATTATTACAGTTAAAATGATTGTATTTTGATATTGTTATCTGGACTATACAGGAATTAAATCATATGCAAAAAGATCTGTAATAACAATGCCAGGATTCTTGAATTAAAAAAAAAAAAACATGTGTGCATTAGTGTGAATTGAGTGGAAATGACATTAAAACTCAAAATATTTCAATTTTTTTTAAAAGATCATTTCAAAAACTTGTGTCCAATAGTTTAGAGTTCAGAAAATGAAAAGATTCAAAATCATCCAATCAGCCATATCATGAAATACAATGAGAAACTTAAACTTGGCTCCATTCATGCAGATTTTGATCCAAAAAATATAAATAATTTGGATTATCTAAGCACTCACAACAACTCTTACACATTTTACATTTACTAAAAAGTCATGTTTGGAGAACCACTAATCAGACTGGAAAACCACTACATGAGCAAAAAAGAAAAGTAGATAAAAACCCAGAAATGTTGTTGACTCCCCAAATCCCACTTCTATTTGAGCGAACCTCTCCTCTCAGCTCTCACATTCAAACAGATCTTAGATTAGGAACAGAGGCAGATTAAGAAGAGAGAGACCAGCCTCTGACACCAACAGGATTAGAAACTGTAATTTGATTAAAAGGAACCAAGTGATGAAAATACAAGATTGAAAAGTGCTTTGCTGCATAATTAAATATCATGCGTCCTAATCTGGAGTCTATGATTAAACTATTAGCTGCAACAGTCTATGATGATACAGCGGATTTTAAAGGAACAAAGTGGAGACAGTGATAAGGGTAAAATGCTAAAGGGTCACTTGTCTCCATGGAGATGATATCGCTCTGTCTGGAAAGTAATAACATCCCACAGTATGGCATTAGACTCATCTATCCTACTCAATTACAGATGTTTTCATTACTCAAAAATACCATTCATTTTAGTCAAATTACTATTATTTTAACCTAAATTATCACCTTGGTTTGTTTGTATATTGGGGTTTACTGTTGTATGTTAAGAACTTTGGTCAACCATGGTTGTTTTTAAATGTGCTATACAAATAAATTTGACTTGAACGCTCCACAGATCTGACCTGTAACCTGGCCTGGTAAGCCAACTGCTTACCTACATTGAGATGGATAAGTTTTTCCATGGAGACACAATGTCAAGTGGCAAATCCTCTGCAAAAAATGTTGCACGGTGCAGCTTTAATAACTACAGATTTTTTTTTTAGCCTGAATCTAGTTGAGAACCAAGATATACTTTATTGTCCTATATGTTCTGCCCTGTGCATTTAACCTCTTGGAACAACCTCTGTCTGGAGCAGAAAGCTACTGCTATTACAGTGCCTGGACCCTCCCCTCACAGTTCATTGTATAGAGTACCTATCTGGAGGATTCAGTCTATGTCTAAGGTGTTCTTACAATGGTCTTATCAGCTGTATAAAATCATACAGAAAGATTACAATATTATTTTGAGTTTAAAAGGTGCATGGAAACATTATTGCTTTGCCTGGAATGTTCCACTGTATGCCATTAAATTCATCTATCTCTGTGAAGACAAGTAGGTGATGCCAGTAAGGTTTACAGGTCAGATCTGTAGAGAGGCGCTCACAATAATAATGCATGATTTTCCAAGGCATATTGAGCAATAAAAATAGCAGTAATCTAATAAATGGAAGATGGATAGCTTTAATGCCATACTGTGAAACAATCCAAGCAAAGCAATAATATCTCCACTGAGACTCGACGTTGCATAGCGCACCTTTAAAATTGCATTTGGCCTGTTTTCTGCACTGTCATTGTAATATGTGAAAGTGAAGTTTACTAAGGTCCATGGTATCAAATATTGTAACGAGTATCGGGCTTTTTCCAAGATCAAAATATAGTTAAGTGTTTGTATAATCTGAGGTCATTTTAGCAAAGTAAAGCTCTTAAAGTGCATCTAGCTTCAGTTCTTTTGTTTGCAGAAGTAATTTCTTTTTCTCTGATAATTTCTTCCTTCAGAATGGAGTCGCACAGTGCCTTAAATGTCTTTTTGGTGATTTAAGGTAATTTGGTTGACAATTGCTCTGCGTGGCATCCTAGCTCGGGAGTCCATTCACACAGCATTAGCTTTGGTTAATTTCTATGGTTAATCCTCTTACTCCCAGCTGAAGAGGATAGTCATGGCTATCACAGGTCTAACCACCGTCAGCCATAATCCCCTTATTTATTAATGCTGCTAATTGGTCTGTTAGCGAAAATAAAAGGGAGACACACAGGGGAGCGGGGATGGCTCGCAGGTGGAACTCTTGCGGATGACCTTTGCACGTGCCGCTGGGTTCAGCTAATTAGAATATCGCGAGCGCAATGTGTGATCTAAAGAAAAAGATCACACATTCAGAAGAGGCGTCAGTTTTAATTGTGTTTTACCTTTTGGTGTCTGCGCTGGATGGAGCAGTCTCTCTCGTAAAGGTGAATGACATTTCCATATTTGTCCCCTAAAGAAAAAAAATGAAGAAATGTCAAGAACAGAAGTGTGAGGGACAAATATGCAGAGAGATGTCAATGGATAAGAATAAGGTAAGACAGTGAATAGATTTTATATAGGGTGTGCACCAAACAGGCAGGTTTGTGTCACTGAAACTCTGTTCTACTTTGTGGAGCCCAGGATCACAACAATGATTTCAAGTTAAAGTTAGTTATATTAAAACCAGCAAGAAATCAGCAAACTAAGTCAGTAAAAACAGCAGGAGGAAAGCAATACTAAACAATAGGGTTGTCAAAAGTATCAAAAATCAGATACTAATTCATACTAAAACTAGTATCAAAACTAGATACTCATTTGAGCAGGTATTGATACAAAAAAATTCACATTCACAGGTCAGAAATGAACCTTTCCTGAATAGCTTTAGAATGATCTTTGATTTCTTTTTTTAGTATCGAAACAGAGTTTGAAGTTTCAATATCGTGATAACAATACTAAACAAACAAGCCAAGACACTGAGTCTTTGAGCTCTCAGAATTTTCTTCAACTTGTAACAAATAGGAAAACTACAATACAATGTATCCGCTTCTATGGATGAACTAGCAGTTTAGTCTGTAAAGATGTTGCCAATGTCAACACTTTAATTCATACAAAGATCTTCAGAACTTACAGGATAAATAACAGTTGCATAACACAACTGGATCAATTCTGTCATACATTTCTGAGAGAAAATAAAGCTATTGTCAACACTGGTGTCTGATATCGGCAGATACTTAAAGCTAAAGTATTGGAAGTGAAGAAGCTGGATCAGTGCACTCTTATTTTCTTGCCCAAGGACACAAAGGCAGTACAGACAGCATTTACTGCACTTGATAATAATGCTATATTCATAACAAAACCCTTAACGCACATTCCCGCTGTCTCCTGTAGTATTTTATTTCACCTTTCGGACAGCAAAGGTTCAACATTGAATATAATGAGTTGAAATAATGGCCCCTGACTGGCCCATGGCTCTCATTCACACCAGTTCATTTGTCCGTCTCCTACGCCCAGCTGCAGACTCCGCTGACTTAATGAACACAGCTTCCATCACAACAAAAAGGCCAGTCATAGTTTAAGTATCTGAGGGCTCTTACCGAGGATTTGGACTTCAATGTGTCTGGGTTTTTCAATAAACTTCTCGATAAACAGGGCTCCGTTCCCAAAAGCCGCCAGCGCTTCCGAGTAGGCCCGCTGGTAATTCTCCTCGAGCTCCTGGAAAACAACACAAATCCATATGTCTGGGTCACCACCACTGAGACTTGCGACGTGGTTTCAATCTTCACAACGTGCGTCTAATCTCGGAAACAACACGGGCCAATTATGGGCTTGTTTTGCTTAGAATCACAGCAGCACAACTGTGGGCTTTTACGTAGGGACGCTTATTTCAATTAAATGCAAAAACTAATCTGTAACACTTATAATAACTATATCTAATTAACCTTAAAGGGATCACTGTGTAACTTTTCTGGTAGGGGAGTCTGCCACTTGCTTATTGCCATGGAGAGGTTTTTGCATAGAACTTTGTGCAGTGTGCCATTAAAATTTCATATCTTGTGTGAATTCAGTTACAACTTATTATTCATTAGTAAAAATACCTTGAAAACATGCATTTGTATTGTTAGCATGGATGCCTCTACACTACACTACAATAACTTGGTGTTTACGTTTAATGCCATAATGCCATACTCCAGCCAAAGCAATAAAATCTCCATGGAGACAAGCAGATGGCAGACCCTGTTCCAAAAAAGTTACACAGTGCACCTTAATACAGCATGAACAGTTAATTCATAATGAACAAACTTAATAATTCAAGCTTAGTGACCACATAGTTCCCTAACCCAAACTCCCACCCCACCCCTTAAGTAGTACTTAGCCTCTTCCTTTATTAATAGTTAATAAAATATTCCCGGAGGAGCTGGAGGAAGTGTCCGGGGTGAAGGAAGTCTGGGAGTCCCTGCTTAGACTGCTGCCCCTGCGACCTGGCCCCAGATAAATGGAAGAAAAAGGATGTTATGTTATATGTTGTATGTTACCTAAATGCAGCACGCTATATTTTAACACTAGTATTTTGAATATTTTACAATATTTGGCAATTCTCCATTTCCTCCCCTTCTCTCTCTTTGGACAGAGATGTCTACTTGCTCTCTAAGGACGCGACAGGGACAAAATCACTTGGAGGCGGAGTGGAGCAGGTCGAAGGTTACGGCTCGATCTGTGTTTGTCAGACAATGTCCCAGCGTCCACAGAGTCCAGTCAGGAGCCTGTCACCCCACTGCCCTCCTCTCTCTCCCTACCTCTCGCCTCCTCTCGCTTCATCCTCTCTCTCCCCCTCTCTCTGACTACTGTGCCCTGCCCAGTGCCCTCTCCACTGACAGACCAGGCCCAGCTGACAACTACACAGCAAAAGCACCCCTGAGGCAACTGGGAGAAACAAAATTAAGTTCAAGATTCATCCATTTCAATGACCTTGGTGCCAGTGGCTTTATAGTAAGACGTAACACATATGCTGAACCAGTCCATCACAGAGTCGCAGCTGCAGTGGGATCTACAGATTTCATTTTCATGTGCTGAGTCCAGGCTTAGTACTGGCCATAGACTGTATTTATAATTTGGACATGGCTAACCTGCTAGCCATGGGGTTGTGTCCAGCTCCATCGACTCTGTTTACAACTGACTTAACATTAAAAAATTCTGTAACTGCTACAGTGAGCTTCGTCATTTTGGTCTTCAAATTTCACTAATGAAACTACTGCATATCACATCAGGTTTGTGAAGTTGTAGTGCATTGTTTTGTATGATTCTTTTGTATATTATGTCACATGGGCGCATGGTTGAGCTGCCCAATGCTCAACCCACAGAAGGGTTTGAATGGACCCCAGGAACGATCGCAAAATTACTCAACTACGCAAGGATAACATATAAAACCTTTCAAATATCAGGCATTTATTTATAAGAGTAAAGGTACTTGGCTATAACGAGAATGCAACCACTGGAAATGTTTTTAAAATTACTTTCTTTCTACAAATATTGCAGTAGATGTCCAAAGAAGTTGTGTGTTAAACTGAGTAGCAAGCTGGTATACACCAGGCCCTGTCAGATCAGAGCCTTAGTTTTCTGTGGACGAGAGACAGACTTTTCAAAGACTTTGTAGGGTGGCATTTGTTCTGGCTGCACATCACTGGAGTCTGTCAGCTTGGGTCACTGGGGCTTTGAAACATCTTCAGTTTGTGTTTTTGGAAAATGCGTCATGTCAGCACAAAAGGGAGAAGATGGCACCTCTGCACACTCTCACACACACACTCTAGTACACTGATGCACAAAATCTTTTGTAAATAATAATGTTTGTTATGAAATATTAGCTTGACAAATTCAACGAAAATATTAAAAAGTCCTATATTATGCAAAGTTGACTCTTGTGAGATTTAATCAATGTTATATTTTACCTCATCAAAAACATAGCTCGAGTTGTGTGTTGCATTTTAAGGTCAAAATGAGAGCAGCAGTTAGAGAGGTTTTTCAATAGAAAGTGAATTGGAATTGGAGAATTGAAAAATTACGCTCCAATGTTAACTCAATGACCAGGTATGCCAATATTTATGAAAGGTACAGTTTACTATGGCTACAATATTTAACGGTGCATATACCTGAAGAGGCTGGTCCAGGACATAGACAGCACCCACATTATATTATACACAATGATACAGAGTAATTTCTTCACATCTGCTGGAGGTGAATCCCCAGCGAATAGTTGGGAACAGTGCGAAATGTCAACACCTAATTAATTAGACCGTAGAACAATACGGAAAAGGTCATATTTCTGATGTATTGCCGACACATATGTCTCAATGATTGCACAGCTCTGCCACTTTATATAGATCACTGAACAGGGAAAAAGCAGCGGTTTTCAAGGTAAACTTTCATGAATGCACCTGCTGCTTTACTGCTGAATTTCATGTGAAGACCTTGGATAATGAATTGAGAAAGGGAAAGGAAAATTACAATTGTTTTGTAGTTTTTGTCATAATATAGGGACCATGTTCATCAATATTAACCATCCTATAGAACACAAAATTTAATTCTTATAATGCTGTTACCGCCTCAAAAACATGCCCAGAGTTGTGTTGTTTCATTCACATGTTTGAGAAAACCTGGTTTATTAGTCTTTCTGAATCTCCAAAGCTCAAAATGCTCTGTGATATCATGAAGCAGCTTTCAAATTAACAGCTACCTTTTACCTTTGGTTCAGTAGAGATTGCAAATTCTAGGATTAAAATTGTTCAAATTATTCTAAACAAGGTGTATGGATTTTAAAACAAAGTGGAGCACTTCCTGTATTACCACATGACATCACAAGGTGGAACAGAGTGTTTTCTGCTTGAGAGAAGAACTCTGCCTAAACGTATGAATGAAACAAAACAACTCGATGTATGTTTTTGCTGAGAAAACACCACAACATACATCAGAAAATATCAATAATAATATTTTACACTGTAGCCGAAAACCCTTATGTCTTCCTTTAGTTTAGATTTTGGTTTTGTTTTTTGCCAAGACCCAATTTGAAATATTTTCTGTTGTATTTCTTGCAAAACCCTTCAAATCAGATTCATACCGAGAAAGACTGTAGTAGTCTTGTCCACCTCTGCCTTGGACCTGATCTTCCTCTGTCACACTGGAGGCCTGGCATCTGCTTCACGTGTGCGGATAACTCAAGTCTACAGCAGTCACACATGCTGTTGCAGTGGGATAAGTGCCGCCGGGGACCACTCATCTAAACTGTTATGACAACCTGACACTTCATGGAGTCTCTGGGTCACATTCACTTCACATTACACTCTTTTAAAAGGAGATTTCTGATGCGATTTATTTATTTCAACCCCAATCATGTCAAATGCTGTATACTACAATGGCTGTAATTTAACACTATTAAGCTGTCACTGGACTTTGTATCTAGTCCTTGTTTAAATGTTTCACCTGCATATTTTTCATTGTGTTGCATGTGATCATCTTAAAAAGGAGCATTGTGTAATTTCTCTCATGGGGAGCAACCACCTGCTTGTTTCCATGGAGATTTGCCAGGAATTTTTTATAGCATTTAAAAAGGTCCTATATTATGCCATTTTTTGATTTATAGTAATAAAGTTGTTTAGTGTTCAAAAATATACCTAGTTTTGTTTTGTTTCATTCACACAATCCCAGCGTATATAGGTTCTTCTCTGTTCCACCTTGTGATGTCATTTGGTAAAACAGAACATGCTCCACTGTGTTTTTAAACTCCATACACCTTCACTAGAATAATTTTGATGGTTTCAGTCCTGGAATTGCCAATCTCTACTGAACTACAGATAAAAGGAAGTGAATGAAACAAAACAACTGTGGCTATGGCTATGTTTTTGATGAGGTAACAACTATAACATGGCTTAAAGCTCACAAGAGTATTTATATATAGGACCTTTAACGTATCCATCTCGCATTTATTTATTCATGATTGCTAAAATACAGTGGAATTCCTTCTGTGAGCAGGGTCCATAGTAGCCTGATTCATCTGCCGGTTTCATGTTGTGGAAACCGTCTGACCAACAACAGGATTACGCAACGCAACATTAGGATTCGTTCACTCGACGGTAGGCGGGTACTTTATTTAACCAATCGCTGCTATTTGATCGTGACGTATGTAATGCGCCGGAACACTCAGTGGTATCCAAGTAATTGCCGGTACAACAGCACACAAAGCAGAGAGTGAACATGTCTGTCAACGATCATTGTTGTTTCGGCAAGGTGAACTTGCGAATTAAAAGGTGCAATAAAAAATGCGAAGTTTGTATTTGACAAAGGAAGTCCAAAGGAGGACAGTGTATGCAGTCTGCTATCGCAACTCAGGTTAGTTCAGCTCTTAGCTGATTGGCCAGTGTGTGGTTTACAACTTCCAGGGATCTTGCAAACTGTCAAATGTATTCCAATTCCTGACCTAGTCACTGGAGATAAATTCAATTGAGCGGAGGCACTAGGTGGATCCAGCCTGGCTAGGTCCATAGATCTGACTTGTGACTTGGCCTGGTGGTGTCACATGCCATACTGTGGAAGATTACAAGCAAAGCAATAATATTTCCATGACAAGCAGGTGGAAAATACTCCACCAGAAAAGTTACATAGTGCACCTTTAATGCAGGTTTTCTTATGCATTTCAAAACTAAAGCAGTAACTAAACACTAAAGCTTCCTGGAACTTTCTAGAACTTCCTGGAACTTGCAGTGCAGCAAAATTAACTAGTGCTGCGTATGTGGAAACAGTCTCGGAAACAGCAATGGACATCAATGCTCTATAATATAAAAAGATGTGTACTAGATGCTACACGATAAACCTGGTCATTACAGTGTAGAGTCCATATGACAGCCTATCATTACAGAGGCCCACATAAACATGAAAGAGAGAGAGATAGTGGGGCAGATGTAAACGAGGAAATGAAGTATATAAGCAAACAGTGGAGTGGACTTCGTAACATGTAAAAAGAAGCCCTTTGTTAAGACAGGCCTGTCAAGATAATTACTATGTGGACTTACTGTTCAATATATGACAGATGGAACAATATAGTGTGTACACTTTCTTTACAATACTTGGGATTAATGGGGAATGTTTTGGCTATATGGTAAGATTTCAAACATAGAAGGTTAAATCAATAACTTGCAATAAAAATAACTTAATAACTTAACAAATGAAAACTAACTGCTAACTTTACCTTGACTTTTTATTGCAGCTTATGTTTTTAAACAATATTGTAGATTTAGAAAAACTGTGGTATAACTCTGCTTTTGGGTTATGATGTTGGTGGTATGAATAAGTAAAATTTTATCGTTTATCATCTGAATTTATTTCAGCAATATATCACACTACAAAATTGTTGACGGGCCTATTTGTTGGTTTATATAGAGATAAATACAGACAATCTTAAGATTCAATTAAACTCCCAGAGAATCGGTGCATTGTTGACTTTTCTCAAAGTTTCCATTGAAATTAATGGGATGGCCGCTTAGTCATAAGTATCATCACAAAGAAAGCACAACTTAATTGCATTTAGAGGCAAAAGTAAACAGGGCAAAATAAGGTCAGTAGGTTTTTTTGATGGCTCAGATTTCACCTGAGAGACCCAGCATATATTTAGGCAGTGCTCCACTGTGTTTTTAAACTCCATACACCTTGACTAGAATCATTTGGATAATGTCAGCCCTGGAATTGCCAGTTTAACTAAACTAAAACTAAACTAAAAGGTAAAAGGTAGCTGTTAACTTGAAAACTACCACTACCTGGCATCACAAGGTGGAGCAAAGCCTTTTGAGCTTGGGGTATATAGACAGACTAATAATGCAGGGTTACTCAAACATATGAATGAAACAAAACATAACTCCAGGTATGTGAAGTGAGCTTTAAGTCCTGTGATAATGCAGTTACAAGAGTAAATTTTGTGTAATATAGGACTTTAAAACATTGATCTGTTGAGCTTGCTGTTCACATGTGATCAGCAAACTGACCTCTATCTCTCGGACCACCCTCATGCCTCGTCCACCGCCTCCATACGCTGCTTTGAAGATGATGGGGAAGCCATAGGTCTGAGCAAACGCCTGGGCCTCTTTCAGACTGGAGATGGGCGAGTCTGTTCCTGGTACCACGGGGACACCTGCAGGCAGGGAGGGTGGAAGGGTTAATAAATGAATAGTATTATAATATTATCTAGAAAAGTGATTCTTTCTGTATACAGCTAAAGGTCCACATCAAGATAAAACCAGAACTAAACCAAAATAAACTTAACATTTAAAATCAGGTTTAAACTAATCCTAAACAGGACTGGAGACATGATCTGTGGGCTGAAAATAAGAACAATAGAAGAAAACAGGCACTATGTCAACTAAGAGACATTTCAGGGAACCGCAGCAGCACTGATCTCAGCAGTTATTTTACAGCTAACACAGAATTCATTTTATATTCATGCCATTCACCTGCACTGATGGCCAGGGATCGCGCCTCCACCTTGTCCCCCATCTTGCGCACCGTTTCTGGGGCTGGACCCACGAACATGACCCCCGCATCAGCACAGGCCTGAGCGAAGTCTGCTCTCTCTGAAAGGAAGCCATAGCCCGGGTGGATCGCATCTACATTATTGTCCTACACAAGAGAGGAGCAAAAACATGGAAGAATTACAAACACAAAAATAGTTAAGTCAGCAGCTTTTGCATGAATATTGACCATATCCATGCGAGTAACAGATTTCAATAATTATATTTATACATTATTTTAATCACTATTCAGAAACACTTGAGGTTAACAAATTAAAATATGAAGTCAAATCTACTACAGTCGTCCCTCACTTTAACGCAATTCATCTTTCGCATCCTCGCTGTTTCATGGATTTTTTTTGTGCAATTTTGCATACTTTTTTTACAGCTTATGAACGCACATCCCTTAGCCAATCAGGACTCACCCTGCGTCCTGATTGGCTAAGGGACTGTAGACCGCTGTCAATCAATCTGCCGTGTCTCCTGTACAGTACAGAATGTGTTCAGCCAAATTTACATAAATGTTCGCTCGCTAGCAGTGTAATTCTGAAATGCTGTACGTTTGCAAGTTTTCTCCCCGACAAAACCCACAACATCAATGAAATGTTCTGCACTGACAAAGGCTCCTGTGGTCACACCAAAAAGTCACAAGAAGATGCTATCACAGAAAAAGTTGGACTTCAGGACATGCTGAAGGAACGTAGACATTACGCGGCGCCATTACGAAATAAATTAATCTTCGGTTCATTACTTAAAGGAGGAAAATAAGATAAGGACAACAGCAGCAATAAGTTTTAAGAAGGATGTTGGGTTGTAACTGTCCTGTGTGAGAAAAGTGTATCAAGTGTGTAGTGAGGGGTTTTACATCCTTAAAACATATATAATAATTGTAAAAAATAAAGCTGACTACTTAGTGTATTCCATCTATTCCAGGTTATTGTTAGAACGTAACCCCTGAACGTAACTAATGCAAGAATCACACGCACATATAAAATGTATGTAGAGGTCTAAACTATGAGGACAGTTTTTATAGTTATATAGACATTTTGTGTACTTCAGAGGACATTCTATTTCCTAAATTGGCAGCTTACTTGACACTTGTTCAGCCCCATTTATAACACATTATACATAATACATTTTAGTTTCAGTAATCTTGTGTTTGTGCTGGGGGAATGTACAACAACATGATACAAGAGGAATCCTGTAAAGAGCCCCAGTGGGTCCTGGTTAACAGTCAGCATTAATGAGGGATACGAACCATTACACAACAAGAAACTGCTTTAGCTGCTCCTGTTACCGAGAAAAAGACGAGACTCTTAGCAGCAGTGAAACAGCCGTGTGCCATCTTTGTTATTCTCCAGTTTCCAATGTAGTTTCACAGTATGAGGAAAAAAAATCATCGTGTGCTATTCCTGCTACTTATTCTGGTTATATTTTGATTAGACATGAGGTTTATTTAGTTTAAAGCAATAAATCTTAATATTTTTAAAGTCAGATTTTGTGTTTTGTTTTGTATACTAATTAACCATTCTAAAAAGATCCTCATGTTACTTTTACTTCGGTTATACAGGGATTAGGATTGTGTCGTGGCATCACAACATACAGTGCAGAGTTTCTAATTTATCAAAACCTAAAAGTCTGCCCTCACCTGCGTACCCTGAGGAGAAGTGAACAGCCCCAGCCCGCTCAGGAATCAAACCTGTGAATCAAACCTCTCTTGCCGAAGGGTAATGAAAGTGACTACAAACCACCAAGCTGCCGTTTTAGATTCTGAAAACCCTGTAGCTCATTCCATCTTTGTTCAAATCTCCCATAGAGACTGTGATAGTCTGTGTATAACGGGGTCAGAGTCAAAGTGCTGAGCTATATCGGACACGGACACACATTGGGTTTCCAACCTTTTTGGGGACATTACATTGACGTACATTCATTTTGTGGAGTGATTAAGGTTGGGCAAGTAGGGATTTTGGTTAAACTAAACCCAAACATTAACCAATTTGAACTCATATCTTAACTTTGAATCAACAGTATGGTTTAAAGGATTTACATCAAGGGTGCCTGATTTTAGTCCCCGCAATGTGTTAAATATGCGCCCGCACACACAGATAGGGAGCAGGAGATTCAGAGGGGGCTGAGGCTGACAGATAGAGCCATCTCTGGATCACTGTGGACCATCTGCTCCTGGATACGGGGCCCAACTATAATTATGGCCTGTCCCGTTGTTAAGGGAGCTGTTACAGGCAGGAGAACAGCATAAAGACACATAGACACCATTCAGATTACTAAGTGCAGATGGGGCATGAGCAGGTAGAGCAATCCACCTCCTCTGAGACAGGTGTGGACATTAAGGGGCCAACAGACGCCCCAGGCTCACACATATATACAAGTGACTCAGGGAAGACACATCCTTGAGGCAGAGGCCAGTGTGAACAATGTGAACAAGAGCCACACAGAATAACTAGAAAGCAGCAAAACACGCCCAAACACTAGGCCTGTACAATCTAAGAAAAGAAACTTGCAACTAATCAAATATTGCAATTGTGGTTAGATGCGTTGTTGATATTTTACAGCTGATGTTATCAACGACCCCTAGGGGTGTGATGCTAGCTATGGGCACTGCTCTGTCTGATGCTTTATTATTTAATCTGTACTATTTTGTGTTTTTTTGATTTTTCAGACAGTCTTAAAACTTTTTAACAGTGTTTGCAAATGTGAGCTTTCCACCATTAGATACACATGTAGAAAACCCACAGCAGAATGTCACTGCAAAGAATAAATATGTTTAAAAGTAAGATTCTGTTCTGTGAGTACACAATGCAAACAATTCCAGAAATAATAACATTTGAACAAAGACTGGAAGATAAACTGATAATATTACAAGAATTTTAGAACATGTTTGTAGAGGTCTAAAGTACAGGAGTACATGATTTTTCTATATTGTAGAGGCTGTTCTATTATCTAAATCAGACATGTCAAACTCAGGCCCGGGGGCCAAATTTGGCCAGCAATATAATTATATTTGGCCCACAAGATCATACCAAATATGTATTAGAGCTGGCCTGCTGGCTACAGATAGACTATAGAGACATTATTTATTTTAAATGTTATTTTATAGTCTGCTTGTTCTGGATTCAAGCATAACTATTATTAAACATTTATTTCAATAAGGCAAGGCAAGGCAAGGCAAGTTTATTTGTATAGCACAATTCGTACACAAAGTAATTCAAAGTGCTTTACAGAATAAGAAATACATTAAAATCATAATAAAAACAAATCAAAACATAAATAATCATGAAGATTAAAATTTTAAAAAAGAGAGACATAAATTGGAGAGAAGAGTGCGGAATGAAAACCTTTCAGTTATATGCACAGTTAAACAGAAATGTTTTGAGTCTGGATTTAAACAGCGTCACAGAAGAGGCCTGTCTCACATGTTCAGGAAGACTGAAAAGGCTTAACATTACATACCTTGAAAGATTTGAAAACATGTAGATGTTGTTTATTTTTTAAATAAATATTTAGATTGGCCCATGACTTAGTCCCAGTTTTAAATTTTGGTCCTCTGTGAATTTGACACCCCTGATCTAAATAATTGCAGCCTTTGTGATTTGATATTCACTTTAAGGAAGAAAACAGTACTTGGATTTAGTACGATTCAGTGTAGCTCTTAGCAAAAACTACACATTTAGCAGGGCAGGGGTGACTAAAGAGAGCCAAGCTTGGTCCTTCTAGTGGTTTAATTTGTTCATTAAAAGGTTCTGAGATTTGTACTTCGATTGAATTGTCCGTTGTTGCAATGTAAACTACTGTCAATAGTTGGAAAATATTGACAGTCTCTCTCTCCCAGTCTCCCCCTCTAAAAAGCACAAGACTTAAAGACGAGTTTCTCTGCACAAGATTTACCATGGAAAACTGTTACATCAAGCCCTCGGTTCGTTATTTTGGTCCTTCGAGAAAGGCAGTACTATTACAGTGAGTGGTTTTGGACCATGTTATAATGATGTAACCTCTTCAAAAACATACCTGGAGTCATATTTTGTTTCATTCACACATGTTTGAGCAATCCTGCATTATTAGTCTGTCTCTCCAAAACTCAAAATGCTCTATTCCACCTTGTGATGTCATGATGCAATAGTAAAGAGCTACCTTGGTACCTTCCTGTATTTTCACGTGACGTCACAAGGTGGAAACAAAGTGTTTTCTGTTTGAGAAAAGAATTCAGCCTAAATATGCAGGGTTTGTGTATTAAACATGTGAGAATTATACAAAACACAGCTCCATGTAAATTTTTGATGAAGAATATTTTAACAGAGATCAGAAAATAGCACAATATGGGACCTTTAACTACAGCAGACAGAATACCTTTCCAGTATTGCCATGTTGTTATCAAGCACTTAATATTGTGATATACATTTAAATAAATACAGTTTTTCATTGTGCCACCCTAACAAACCACCACACATGCATTCACACACTTGGACATGCTTGGGCTCTCCGTGGCGAGGCTCCCAGACAGACAGACGGATTTGGAAAAATGAGTTGGACATTGGTGAAGGTTTTCTCAGCTTGGCTCACTGACCACATGCCCACACAGAAAATTATCAACCGTGAGAGATTGATCCGAAAAACGATAATGGACAAGTGGCAGTGCATGCTGGAGGGACCGAGGGAGAGACGGAGGAGGGAGGAAGGCAAAGACAGAGGGAGAAAAGGAGACAAGAAACAACAAAAAAAACGACACAAATGCACTGATAACGGGCACACAAAAGGAACAGGAAATGACTGAAAATGGTGATAGAAAAGAGGCAAGGGAGTGAATAACAAGTAAAACTGTATTTTTTAAATGACAAACTACCAGAAAGAAAAGTATTTTTAAATATATTCTGTTAATAATAACTTCTCTGCCCTGTATAGTTTTTCAAAGAAATTACTTTTAAATGCTAAATTTCTTACCCAATAAGCTTAGAAATTTTAAAGACCAAATAAAAAGAAAAGTCTGTTTTTTCATGGACAATGCTGATAACGTTTCTTTTGAATGAAGAGTAACTGATAACCTCTGCAGATATTTTTGAACAGAAATCCATTTTGTTTTGGTTATTTTCTTCAAATTATGCCATTTAAATTTACTGGAAACTCACCCAAAGCCCTTTTTTCATCACAAACCCGTAAGAGAGCCGCATAGTCACATTATATCTTTGAACTTAAGTGTTCAAATAAAACATTAAGGGTATTTTGAGGCTGTAGATCAGACGCTAACAAGTGCAAATATTGATTGGATATAATCTGCTAAATCATAAATCAGTCTGTCTCTAATAACTATATTGAATTTTTATGTTTAATAATGTTTTTCCTTTTTTACCTTGGCTACTTTGATGATGTCGGGGATGTCCAGGTAGGCAGCCACAGGAGCCAGGCCTTTTCCAATCAAATACGCTTCATCTGCCTTCTGCCTGAGGAGACAAGACATTATAAATTAGCTGACAAAATCTACAGATGTCTTTAGCTCACTTCACTGGGCATTAGCAAGATCTGAAAGCATGGAAAGATAACGCTACATTTGTATTTTTATGCTGCGTTTTAAAGAATACATGGACAGATAAGAGATGTGGTGACCATTTAAATGTAAAATAGACAAAATGCATGAAAAATAAACCTTTAGCCAGATTTGTCACTGAGAGATCACTTAAAACCCTGATTAGAATGCTAGTCTGTGTCCACAAGCCAAGTCCTGCCATTACCTGAATGTTCCCGAGCCAATATATATTTGTCAGATCTCAAAAGATTGCATTTTATTAAACTGATCATCACTAAATCTGAAAATTACAGCAGGACTAAAGGTGCATTGTGTAACTTTTCTGGCTAATGGGATGCTACATGTTTGGTAATGTTTTGCATTATTTCAATAAACATAATTCATCTTCACAGAAAGAAGATGGCTCCTCGAAGCAAAGTTACAGGTCAGATCTGTGGAGATGTGATCTGGCTCACAGTGACAATGAAATAAACCTAATGAAAGAAATTTTAGATAGGATTAATGCAATGGAACACTTTAGAAAAAGCAGTAACATCGCCATGGTGATAAGCAGGTAACATAAAAAAGTTAAATTGAATGAACGAACCCTTGGACTAAACCAAATTTTTAAGTAAATCAAATCAAAAATTTTGTGTGGGTTTGTATTATACTATTTCCTGATCTACGCTATAATGTTGTTTCCTCATCAAAAACATACCAGGAGTTGCATTTGTTTTATTCAGACACGTTTAACACACAAACCCTGAAAATGTCTGTTCTTCTTTCATAAGGAAAACACCAAGTTCCACCTTGTGATATCATATGGTAATACGTGAAGTGCTCTGCTGTGGTTTTTAAACTCCATACACCAAAACTATAATCATTTGGATCATTTCAGTCCTGGAATTTCCTATCTCAACTCAACTAAAGGTAAAGGTAGCTATTAACTTGAAAACTACCACTACATGACATCACAGGGTGGTACAGAACTTTTGCTTTGGAGATGTAGAGAGACTAATAATCCATGGTTACTCAAACATTCAATATGTGAATGAAACGAAACACATCTCTAAGTATGTTTTTGAGGAGGTAACAGCTTTCTAAAGCTCACAAGAATCAATTTTGTGTGATACAGCATCTTTAAACCCGACTTGAACTATAAATTTAATAAATAATATAACCTTGAACCAAGACCAATTTGGGAAAAGTGGTAAAAAAAAACTATGATTCCAGCATAGAAGAATTAAGATAAACCAGACTGAAACCAGAACCAGAGCAGGGTTCAAAAATAAAGCAATGCTCTTCTAATTAAATCTGTAACCAAATCAGTGAGAGAATACGCCCCATTGCCCGCTCTAACTGTAGTCAATACGAACAGAGGAAGCCTTCAGTAGCTCAGTCGGATATCTGCAGGTGATTCTTTGCTTTATTTAGCTCACTGCAGGCCTCTTTGAGTTAAAATGTGCACAGCGGTAATTGTTCCATAGGAAAGTCACAATGCCACAGTCGAAGATTTTGAGAAATATCTGAATATTCTTTAATGAATAGCTTTACTTTGCTCTTTTAATGTCAAATGTCATAACCAAGCATAGTGTTTTATGTGTTTTATAGATTAGCCTGCAGGATTCTTAAAAATGTGGCTTAAAAGCTGGATTATTTTTATTATCCTAAAGACAGTGATGTTAAAAGTACATTGCGCAGCTTTTTGGAGGAAGATCCAATACCTGCTTGTCTCCATGGAGATGTTATTGCTTTGCCAGGGAAGTTCCATGGTATGACTTTGAACATTTCCATCTAGCATTATTCATTACAGGTGTTTCTCTTGCTCAAAAATACAATAATTCCTTCTGTGAATGGGGACGACTCTCACAGATCTGAATTGTAATAGTGTAGTGCTGTAACCTGCTCGTCTCCCTGGTGATATATAGGTTTGATCAAAACTGTGGAACATTCTAGATAAAGCCATAACATTTCCAAGGAGATAAGCAGGGGGCGGACCCTCCACTAGAAAAGTTAAGCACCTTTATGCACAATCAAGTAAAACTGTTTTCTCTTAGTGTGTCCAAATATAGGTACCTGTGCATTTGCCCTGTGTCCTGTTCGGAGTAAACAGCCACAGTGCGAATCCCCAGCTCTGTGCAGGCTCGGAAAACTCGGATGGCAATTTCACCTGGAAAAGAGAAGATATAGTATATGAACGACTATCATTTTCAGGAGAAGTAAAAAGTCTTTAGAGATTTATGAATACAGAGACAGAGAAGTCGATCTGAAGTTGCAGATAAAAAACTGTCTCTGAAGATTTGGTTTGGTTATCAGTAAAGGTGCAAATACATAAAGTGCCTAAAGTATTTTCAGTGCAGTTGTGTGGTGTGGATATCTAGTAAATCGCATTTTGTAGAGAAGGTTTCAGCTGTGGTTATCTGGACACTGTTTGTGCAATCAAGACGTTTTGGCAAATCGGGCATGCATTTGGTCATCCAAATTAGTCGGATAAAACCTAGTGCCTCAAGTCAGTAGAAGCAAATTTCGATACCTGATGTCACCTGCTGCACATTTAGTAAGATGCCCATTATCATAAGAGAAAATCTGTGCAAGATCCAACACTACAACTGCTTCATTATCGATGTGACAGTAACTAGCTAAAGGAAACAGACTAAAGTTTAGTTTTGAGTAGTAAACCAACTCCTGGTTAGTTCTATTAAAGGTGCACTGTGTCATTTTTTGTTAGGGGTCTCTCACAGTCTTGTTTCCATGAATATGTCATTGCTCTGCCTGGAATGTTCCACAGTATGACATTAAACAGCTCTATCTTACATTTATTAAATTACAGGTAGTTAACTTAAAGCTCAAGAATACCCAGTAAAACAGGCATTCCTACTGTGAGCGGGGTTCACAGATCTGACTTGTAACTTGGTCTTTTTTGGCCACCATGAGGATAGAAAAGTTTAATACCATACTGTGAAACATTGTGAATAAGATTTCCATAGAGAAAAGCATTTGACGGACCATGAAAGTTACACAATCCACCATTAAAATGTTGTTCATGAGCAGATTTGTTTTTTTATAGGTGACATCAAAATCCCAACATCTCTGAACCCTGACACCTCTGAATCCTGAGTTCCACATGAACGCAGCAATATCTTATTTGTATTTCTTCAATGTGATGTGGCGACATCTCACTTTTAAACTCTTAACTTTGCTTATGCTTAAGAAAAAACACATTTAGAAGTTTGGCAGTGCTGTCACAAATTCACACTTAACATTATTACTTTATCAACATCACGCAGACAGAACTCTGATACCAATACCTCATGCTGTAAAGACAATAAACTGAATATTGTATTACATGAGGGAGATATGAGAGTGAGTCAAATCCATCTGGTTTGCTTCACACTGTGCACAAAAGTCAATACAAACTTCAGCTGGGTTTGTGTAGTTAAAGCACACAATAAAACCGTAAAAAAAAAAAAAACATATTTAGAAGAGCCGTCATTCACTGGGTTGTCAGTAAAAAATATTATTGTTTATCAAGTTCTCAGTTCAAGAGTTTAGTTAAAATGTGCAAAGTGAGCCGCTGCTGTGTAAACAAGAAATGCTCAAAGTGTGTCAGAAATGGATTTCAAAGTAATATTATTCAATAAAGACAATAACAAGAAAAAAGAGGTCTAAACCCGGACTGAACTTGGACTGAACCAGGATTACAGTCTACATGTGCATAGAGAAGACAGTTGATTACTTAAATAATTTCTTTTGAGATTTGCCATTTGTGAACTTTCAAATTTCAATAACAGTTTTGAGTTTGAAATTTTAGTATCGTGACAACACAAGAAATAAATAAGGAACTACAGAGAATAAACTATGCAGAGGCAGAGGAAAAAGAGGGAGCAGAGGAGGAAAAGGAGGCAGAGGAGGAAGAAGAGAAGCAAGAGGAGGAAGAGGAGGCAGAGGGAGCAGGAGATGAGTGAAGGAGGCCAGGAGATGTGCTTGGTCAAGTGGAAGCCAATGTGATATGATATGATGGTCAGCACCCCGCCTCTCCATCTCACATGGCCAGAAAGGAGCACGGTCCAGTGGGCTGCGGTCTGATGGATTTGCCCTAATGTGGTGAAAACGGAGCCGGAGAGAGAGACAGAAAGTGACGGAGAGAAAGAGAGAGAAAGAGTGAAAGAGAGGAGAGAGAGAGTGATAGGGAAAATGCCATAGACTGCTGGTGAACGTGAGGGCAGGCTCTGGTCCCTTTGAATACAAGTGATGGATTAAAGATAGTCACATTGTATACATGGCGATGAGGCACTACCAAGCTCGGCCTACTGACAAGAATGGAGTTTGAGGTCTTACAGTTGCCAAAAGTATCAAAAATCAGATATTACTCGATACTAAAACTGATATCAAAACTATACACAGCAGGTTGAGCAGGTTTCAAAACAAAAAAAGTCATTCACAGGACAGAAATGAGCCTGAATAGCTTTAAAATGATCTTGAGCTTTATCAGGACAAATAAAAGACCACACAGACTAGTACTAGTATAAGCCAATGGACCACTAAGGAACAATGAAAGTACTACTATTTAATGTGGAAAATCACATTCTATTGTCTAAAGAAAGTGTGTGGTTTTTTTTTTTATTATCATCATGGTATTGGAATTGGTATCGAGTATCAAGTCTATTCCTTAGAATCTAAATAGAGTTTGAAAATTTTGCATCGTGACAACCAGATTTTCAGACTGGGATTGGCACAAACCATACACTTCATTGGCTGAATTAATGATTGCATTAATGGTAGTTAGGGAAGTAACAATAACCACAATATTGTGATATCGTATCGTCAAAGTTCTCACAATAATATCGTGGACCATCATAATTTATCAAATTACAAGTCTCTTTGCTTAAATTAAGAATTATGGTGCAGAAATAGTTTAAAAAAAGAAAGCGAACTACATAGACCATGATCCTTTGCTCCGTTTCAGTGCAGACTACATGAAGAAAAAACAGTTCTAAGCATTTGTAAGTCTTAGTTCTTTGAATTAAGTCTTGTCAAGGCATTTTAAGAGGAAAAAGTAGCATATTCACAGTTTTGTTAGCCTCCACAAAATATCACAATAAATATCATACCGTGAGATGTATATCGTGACAATATCATACCAAGAGATTTGGATATTGTTACAATCCTAATCGTGAGCCTTCCCACCATATCATGAGCTTTCCCACGATATCGCAATAAATATTGTACTGTGAAGTTCATACCGTGACGATATCGTTACATCCCTAATGGTACTTTAAGTTAAATTTGGCTGAGTCACGAAGGTTCTAATCTTCATGTCATTCTGAGCACTCATTTCTGGCCTAAAATTGAGTTCACTACAAATACACATGAGCCTGCTTTATCTATATTTATTCATATGGTTCATTTCCACAGATGCCAGCAGAACGCGTGCCAAACTGTGCACTGAAAAAAAAGTGTGTTTTTCCAACAAAGACACAAGATGCCCAAAAGCATATTTATAAGCCAATAAAACCCACAGTGATGCATGATCTATCCATTTAAAAGAAATTTATTGTAGACTTGTCAAAACCAGATACTAATTAGATACTAATCTGAATAGCTTGAATGAGTGTGAGCTGTATCAGTAGGACCACAAGTACAAGACCACATAGACTAGTATGGACCACATGGACCACATGGAACCTACCTGAACTGAGTACTAGGATTTAATGTTGAAGGGGGCATTCTGTTATCTAAATAAGTGTTTATTATTATAATTCATGGTACTGGAATTGGTATTAAGTATCAAGTCTGTTCCTTAGCATCGAAGTCAAGTTTCAAATTTTAGTACCATGAACCATATCCAGGTAAAAAAAATGCTGATGATATTGCAAACATTTCTCATTAAAATGTTAATTACTGCAACCCCACTCTAACCAGAATAACATGAGTTTCTACAAAGTGCTGATAAGAGTACAAATTATGGTGACAGTATTTTAGACAGTATAAGCTTTAATTAGAGCGTACAGTAATTATCAGCACCACAAAATCAGTCGTGTTTACATAGCGTATGACAGGCAGCCTAAATACTCTTCATTTATGAAAGAGTGGCCTTCTCTCCCTCTCTGGAGAGTAATGCTCGTGACATTTTGAGCGAATTTAAGATTGTTGCACACTTTAAAAAGCCACAATAGATTCATGTTTTAGTTTTGTTTTTTTGTTGTGTAATTTACATTTGTGTTATTAGTTTTAATATTTTAGAATAAATAAATCTAATAAAATCTTTGTACACCCCTGAAGTTGTTTGCTCATCACAAACATACCTGGAGTTTTGTTTTGTTTCATTCACACGTTTAACACAAATTCTGAATATTTAGGCTGAGTTCTTCTCTCAAACAGAAATCACACTTTTCCACCTTGTGATGTCATGTGGTGATACAGGAAGTGCTCCACTGTGTTTTAAACTCCGAACCTTCGCTAGAATCATTTGGATGACTCCAGTCTCTACTGAACTAAAGGTAAAAGGTAGCTGTTAACTTGAAAACTACCACTTCATGACATCACAAGGTAAAACGGTGCATTTTGAGGTTTGGAAATGTAGACAGATTAATAATAAGGAGTTACTCAAACATGTGTGAATGAAATAAAACAAACTAAAATGAGACAACAGCATTATAACATGACTCAAAGCTCACAAGAGTCAATTTTGCATCATACAGGACCTTTAATTCACACTTATATCACAGCATTCGTAATACAGCAGCGCAATTGTATTCAGTATTAAACAAAGATAACTTCAAAATATACAATATTAATTATAAAAAGGTCTATGAATATTACAGCGCTATAGATCAAACCCCATAATATAGTTCTGTTTTTGCATGCAAGCAGTTTAAATGGTAAATGAAAGGTTAACTGTGTCAGCAATGTTTAAACTCCACACAGAATGCAGCTGAAGCAAGTGGCAAAAAGTCAACACAGCCTCCTCCGCCTGCTGTAGTTTAAATATTTGGATATGCATGTGGAGGAGCTCGAATCATTAAAAATTAAAAATGGCGTCCTCTGTTGCCTCAGGAAGATTTTAAATGTCAGTGTGTTACGTTACATTATACATTAAATAGAATTAGCAAATTCAATTAAACAGTGCAGTATTAGGCAGAGATACAGTATTCTTCTTTGTGGTTTGAAGATATGAAAAATAATATTGAGTACATTTACAACAGGAAAAATGTTGATGATAGTTATTTTTTTTAATTCATTCAGACATGTTTAATATTTAAAAGGTGCATTGCTTAACTTTTCTGGTAGAGGGTACGTCACTTGCTTGTCTTCATGATCTTATTGCTTTGCCTGGAATGTTTCAGGATATGACATAAAACAATCTAGCATTTATTCATTGCAAGTGTTTCTATAGACTTTTTTCACAACATCACTCCCCGTTAATGCTTTTCTACGGCAAAAAATCTGTGGAAATGTCTCTCGTATTTCCCACCAGCTTCATAAATCTGCCCCATCACCAAATCTTCATCCAGCAAGGTCGACAAAGGACATATTCTGTCCACGAGAATTTATCCACAACTATCAAGGTAAGAAAGATGAAAATATAAAGGCAAACAACGACTAGCATTAGTGAACTACGCCAGAGCAAAACTAACATTATGGTTATGAATAAAACATAAGTAACTTGTTCACTCAGACTGATTCTACAATTAAAATTTAAAATTGATTTCATGATGTAGATTTTAGTATAGACAGATATTTGTGCAGTTTAAATGTTAGACATATAATCTGTGAATATCTGTAGCATTCAAACTGTACAAATCTCTCCGTCTATGCCAATATCTACATCATGAAATCAGTTTTTAATTTAAATTGTAGAATCAGTTTGAGTTAAGAAGTTACTTATGTTTTATTTATGACCATAACATTAGTTTTGCTCAGGAGTAGTTCAATAATGTTAGTCTTTGTTCGCCTTTACATTTTCCTCTTTCTTACCTTGATAGTTGTGGATAAATTCTTCATGGACAGAATATGTCTTTTGTCCACCTTGTTGGATGAAGATTTGGTGATGGGGCAGATTTATGAAGCTGGTGGAAAATACACAGATATTTTGCAATAGAAAAGCATTAACCAGGAGTTACATTTACCCTACATCATGGCACTTCTGGGTCTATTGCACAAAAATATAATAATTCCTTCTGTGAACAGGGTTGAATCTCCACAGATTTGACTTGTAATGTAGCAAGTAGTTAAGTCCCATCAGATAGGTAGATTTAATCTATACCATGGAATGTTATAGACAAAGTAATAACCTGTAGATGGCGGACCCTCCACTAGAAAAGTTGAAAAACTGCACCTTTAAGTCTGATGTCATGCCCATCTGAATACAGGGAGCTTCATCTGTGACAAGACTCACATTGTCATAAAGTATTAAAGTGGCCTATCCATATCGGAAAAAATAAAGCCAAAAAATATCACACAAGCCTGAAATACATGGTGGATTTCTGCAAAATCAATGAGCAAGGTGAGATAAATCTGATTTCATTTGTAAAAGATAGATGAGCTCCTTCGTTTCACATGAGTCACTGAGTAAAACAAATGTGACTGGACGATCACGTTTGGTCGGGCTTGAGACGCAACAGAGGCCATGGGGACCAGACTGAAGACATGGATCAGATTAATAATGGATCATATTTATACAGCGCTTTTTGGAAACTCTACGATGCATTATACATCCACTCCACACTCGTATATAGAGATATCATTCTCAATATTACTCTGGATTTACCAGGCAACATCCGCCCATACACAATACACGATGTGCAGCTGTCTCACCTCTGTTGGCCACCATGACCTTCTTGATGGGGCGGTGTTCGACGCGTGGGACCGAGTGCGCCGAGCGGGACACCAGACACACCCTCCGCACCGCCAGGAGTCCCAGGCCCCCGCGGATCACTGCATAACCCAACATACTGAAAGAGAGGAAAGAGCAACGAGACCGATAAGGGACACGCCAACACGGTCGTACTTATACATGCATGCATCAAATATTCACATGCACTCAGACTTCCACACATACTGCAGTGTACTTTGATACAGGAGGAAAGTGAACTGTCTTGCCCAATGACACAGCGATAATGGGCAGGGATTGGACTGCCTTGTTATGCAAAATGAAGCAAGCTACTTTATAAGCAAAACAAAAAAAAATCAGAAACAGTGTAATATGTGTGTGCTTGTACTATTAAAAGGGAAATCCCAAAGTACAATTTATAATTCTGTACCCCGTGGCTATTAATTGTCATCCTTAGATAATTTCTGTGTTTTTTTTTTTCCCAGAATGCATTGTATAGTTATTCAAAGAGAATTCAGACAAAATATAGCTGTAACAAACTGCTATTAATTTAGACGAATAAAAGCGCGCTCCCAAAACTATTGAAAACAAATCTATTGTTTAACTGGCCTTTGTAAAATAAATGGAATATTATTTGGTTAAAGAGCTGTCTCGGCCTGAATAAAATAATCATAATTTAAACACAGAGAAAAGTGCTTTGGTTGAATGACTTTGAAATTAAAATGTCACCAATCCCCTTTTTTCTCCCTTTGCTAATGACAACGTAATTGAAGTTAATGATAAAGTGCACTGTGGCTGACTGCATACATCACAATTAATATTATGAAGAGATGTTTAATCTTGATGAATTGTGCCCATTCACTTAGCATACCAAAGAGCCGTGCTGTGATTGGACGAAAGAATCAAGGAAATAAAACGCACACAGCCAATCAGAAGCGAGCTACAATGAGGGTAATTGGATGCAGGTGGATCACAGACAAGGAAGTTTTTTGTCAACATTAACCAACTTATTCTTAAATGACAACTATTAATCATTTTCATTACTAACTTCTGAAATGTTTTGTTTATAAAGGAAGAATTTGACAGAGGGTAGCTCCAAAATCAAACCTAGTTACAGCAGTTGTCAAAAGCACGAGGAAGGAAGTCTAATTGAAATGAAGCCCTTTAAATAATGCAGTTGTCTTCTTCTTGCATGATCAGAGTAGCAGTCGTTGAATATTTACCCGGCGGATGTGACAGCCGAACAGATGGAGACGTGAGCAGAGCCTCAACCACACTGCACTCTCTTCTTCTGACACTGTGAACTAATGTTATGTGTTATGACAGAGCTCTGCTGCCACACTGTGGACACACACGGACATCGCACACAAGAGGAAGTCATTGCTAGATTTAAACTATTTTCCAGTTTGTTTGTTTTTTTCCTTTTTCCATTTTTGAATTTTAACAAAAAAATGACAGACAAAAAAAAAATGACAGGCAAAAAAAAAAAAAAAAAACTCCTCCCACACCTCCAGCCATCTCGCCACACCCAAAACAAACACACAAAGAAAACAAAAACACTGGGACTGGGATCAAATAGTCAAATATAGCTCAGGACCAGTCCCACCAGCACATCCAAAAAAGGAATCAATACTTTATCAAAAAGAATTAGTGTGTTCATTTGTATATTTGTTAGAAATGATTAAATAAAGCAATGTTGTCCAATAGCCACTTTAGTCTTTGATATAGTACTGATTGATAGACTGATCATAATATAAGCACTTTAAAATCACAAATGTAATAAGGGAAGACAGACCCTTTCTTTTAATGCCTAAAACTGTTCAGTGAATTTAGAGCAGCAAACAAAACAGCAGCACCAACGGTTAAATGCAAGCATACATACTCCATTTCTCATTATTTCACTAAACCTATTCCTGTAAACAAAATCTACACAAGTTTACACAAGGGGCTCATAACTCCAAAAATGTAAATGTCTTACTGTCTTTGTACTTTGCCCAGAATTAAATAATGTATCTAGCATATATTTCATTAGTTTAAGCATGTATCTTACTGGGAATGAGTAGCCTCTCCACAGATCTGAACTGTAATTTAATTTGGCCAAGTGATGTTTTCTGCTTGTCTCCATGGAGCTGGAAAGGTTTAAGTTTCACGCCGTACTGTGGAACATTCTAGGCAATTCATCCTTAAGATTACTCATGACTAAATCAGAAAGCATTGGGGCAGATCTAAAAATTGCATGTTAAATCAACCATGTAACTATACGGTTCATTTGTCCATTTAATTGCCAATTAATAGTTTTAGCTGACACAGAGGAATCCTGTCTGTATTTAGAGTGGCCACCAAGCACAACAGCTAATGCAATGTTTCCTATCACTTGTCACTACGGCATCATTTAGCAGGGGCCAGAATTTGAGAGTGCATTTCTTGACATCTGAGATACCCCTGTAGTCAGCTCCCAGCCTTCAGGAAATGTAACGTAATCTTTTAAGACAGCATTATTAAAAATATCCCAGCGTGCTATGGGATTAAGTTGTAGTACTACTGACACATATTCAAAAGGGCATTCAGTTCATTTAAAGGTGCACTATAACTTGCCACCTGTAGATGTTAAAGGTCCTATATTGCACAAAATGGGTTCTTGTGAGCTTTATGTCATGTTATAATATTGTTACCTCATCAAAAACATACCTGGATTTGTGTTTTGTTACATTCACACATTTGAGACTGTCTACATCTCCAAAGCTCAAAATGTTCTTTTCCACCTTGTCATGTGGTAGTGGTACTTTTAAAAGTAACAGCTACATTTTACCTTAAGTTCAGTAGAGACAAGACAATTCCAGGGTTGTAATCATCCAAATGATTCTAGTGAAAGCAAGTGGAGTTTCAAAAACACAGTGGAGCATTATTACTACATGACATCACAAGGTGGAACAGAGTGTTTTCAGTTTGAGAAAATAACCGAGCCTAATATAAAACACAACTCCAGCAGCAGTAGCCACTTCACACTTTGTCCTAAAAGTTTAATTTGAATGAATGAATTGATGGAAGATTTATTAGAGAGAGACAAGGACTAAATTTAGGTCAACATAAAACTGGTCACAATGTTTTGGTTTAATTTTTAGGATGGTCACGTTTAGCCAAAATAAAAGCATGTTTTGTCTTGTTTTTTTTTATTTGGTTGAGTTTATAGCACTGAAACAGTCCTTACTATGAATGGGTTTGGATCTACACAAACCTTTTTGGGGGGAATTTGGGGAAAATCTCAAAATTTTTCTGTTGTGACAAGCCTTAATTCAAGTCTTTTGATAAAAAATCATGAATGGGGTCTGATTTAGGTGGCAGAGGCGACAAACTGAAAGCCTATCCCATGTGAGGACAAAGCATCGTCCCAGCTTCACACTGGGGCAGGTGTAGGGTGTCCCATTCCTGAACAATGATACACCCAGACCACAACACACAGCTCAGCTCAGAAGAAGGTAAAGGTTACGCAATTATCAGGGGAAGCATCAGTAACTATGGCAACAGTAATGGGCTCCTATAGCATTAAGAGTTAGAAGCAGTAATATACAACTAGAGCTCTTAATAATTGTACCTTCGCTCCTCATATTAATCTAGTTTCTAATCACAAACATTTGTGTACAATATTATTGTGAGTCTGGGCTAAAGCTAAATGTTGGATCATACAATAAAATTACAGAAGGCAGTAAATGGTGGGAGGAGTAGCAGAACAATAAGTAGCATTTAGAAGCTACACTATAGCCTCATTTCCACTGGTTTGGAACCAGATCAGTACAGGCCACAAGTGTCTCCACTTTCTTATGTGAACTGTACTTGAGGGGTCTGGACCCTGCTGGGTGCTAGCTCCCAGAAGGGCCAGTGGCTAAAGCATGGCTACACAGGAAATAAGATGATTGGGCAAGAGAGAATAGAGACTCAAAATGGTAGACAGATATAAACATAAAATAATAATCTCTCACCAAACACTGACTTGATGCCATATTTCCAGTTTTGGCAGATTTATATGTTGAGCCGATATGCACCACAAAACAAAACAATGCAACAGCTGTTTCCTGTTTTTCGATATACGGCACTCGCTTAATGATTCAAAACATAACATTTCCAGTGCATAATGCATCTAACATGACTCAAACATTACACCTTACATTATAAAGAGAGGTTAAAATGAGGCATAGAGGCGCAAAGAAGCCAAACAAATGTAGAAAGAGCTGATCATAAACCAGAAGTAGCTTTGTTTTTACACTCATCTCACAGTGCCACAAACTAAACGAGTTTTTGTGAATTGCTAAAATTAGCCTTATAATTACGAGTACAGCAATTTACTTTTAATGTATTAGTAAAGTTCGGGTGACTAGAGTGTCTCAGAGCAGAACTTTGCCCCTGGACCCAGAGAATGGAAACGCAAAGAGCTGCACCAAACAGACCTGCTCCAAGGCCCCAAATGAACCCTGCCAGTAGAAAAGAGGTTTATGTAACTTTTGTGCCTGTCTTACCGTTTTGGCTGTGGGAATGTTTCACAGACAGTTTTCTGAGAAAGTAACAGTAACCATGACTACTTATAATCTGTGGAGAGGCGAGCGACTCACAGTACAATGCATGTTTTTCAAAGTATATTTGAACAATAAAACCATCTGAATGTAACACAGAAGCAAGTCCAATACCGTACTGTGGAACATTTCAGGCCAAGCAATAACATCTCCATGGAGACAAACAGGTATAAACAGTACTAACATATTATTATCGGCTGTTCAGTATTCAGTCAGTGGAAAACATTTTGTAATGGCTTAATTTGGATGCGTAGAAGTAGTAAAGGTTGGCAGCAGTATTTGCACTATGTCAACTAAAAGTAACAATAGAAGTAGAAAGAAGAAGTAGTTATACTGCAGGGGTCTCCAACCTGTAGCTCAGGAGCCACCAGTAGCTCTCCACCCTCTTCCAAGTAGCTCGCCAAGGGATTTCTGAATTATATGTATTGTGCTGAAGAAGTAAAATTTGATTAATTAAATGCTTATTATTACCATTGTAAATATATAATTTTGATGTCTAACTTTGTACACTGATAAATGGATATTGGTTTATGTTTTATAGTCATCTAACTGTACCCTATCTAAGGCTCTCCGTGGCTCTTTATTTACTCTGCTAAAACTAGAACCTCTCTGGCATTTTCGTTTTGTAAAAGTAGCTCACTGGAGTAAAAACGTTGGATACTCATGTTATATTGAAATATACATTCTATTACTTCTACTTCTACTTATAGCAGTACTTTTGTGTGGACATATGGATGGGTACTCACACAGCCTATACAATTTAAATGTTGTAGAACCAACCCTAAAGGAACACTGCGCAACTTTTCTGGGGGAGAGTCTGCTACCCTGTTGTCTCCATGGAGATGTTATTGCTTTGCCTGGGACGTTCCATGGTATGACTATTGCTCAAAAATACAATAAGTAATTCCTTCTGTGAATAGGGGTGCCTCTCCACAGATCTTAAATAATGTAGTGTACTGTTGTAACCTGCTTGTCTCTCTTGTGATAGATACTGTAGGTTTAATCTATATTGTGGAACATTCTAGACAAAGCAATAACATTTCCATGGAGACAAGCAGGTGGCAGACCCTTGAAATGTTACGCCGTGCACCTTTAAGAAGCAATGACTCATAATAAGACCCTGATCTTGAATTTTGATCAGAATATCCTTCCTGTCATGTTATCCCCACAGATCTAGTGAACTCTGCAGCTAGGACGGTTTTGTGCCAGTGTTACTGAAAAGCCCTGCGGCAAACTCTGGGATAAACTGTGGTATGGGTGGAATGTATGAGGTCTTATAGAGATAGAACTTCTGGTTTGTCTTCTGCTATAGAAGATAATGTAATTCACCGATCACTAGAGCAAGAATCAGCAACTGCCAATGCTGTAAATTGTAAGTTACAGTTAGAGTCAAATACCACTGTTCATGTAGATTACAATGTCCAAATACCACCGGCATTTAATCAGATTAGACTTTACTGCCTATTGTTCTGTATTTAGTTTCAAAGGGGTAAGAACATAACAGCAACACAAAACATTTGAGTAGTCAGACCAATAAAGTGAATACTTATGTCAAAGAAACTGGACCCAGAGGAGATAAAATATTTATTCTTCAATTAGCTCTTTCAATGTATGTTCTGAAGACTTCCAAGCTTGCCCAGTAACGATATACTGTACAAGCAGCTCTTGAGGTTAAAATAAGTCTGCTGTACTGTCTGCTTCTGATTAGAAAACATTTTGCTGTCCAATAATCAGGAC